GACATCAATTCCAGGAAAAATTCTGGAGCAGATTATAAATCAGTCACTCTGCAAGTACCTTGAAACCAATGCAGTAATAACTATAAGCCAACACAGATTTGTCAAGAACAAATCCTGTCAGGTTAATCTTATCTCATTTCTGGTTGGGTAAGCTCCCTGGTGGACAGTGGGAAATGTAATATATCTTGACTTCAGCAAAGTCTTTGACAAAGTGCTACATAATATTCTGATTAGCAAAATAACTACTGTACATGTGGACTGGATAGAACAACTGTCAGGTGGATACATGGTTAGCTACAGAATCATATTCAGAGAATCCTTATCAATGGCTCCTTCTCAATTTGGGAGGAGGTAACAAGTGGAGTACCACAAGGCTCATTCCTGTGCCCATTGCTCTTCCAACATTTTTATTAATGACCTGTATCAGGGAAATTTGAGAATGACACAGAATTGGGTGGAACAAAATTCAAAAAAATCTTGATAGGCTCGAGCACTGGGCTGAATGCAACAGAATGAAATTTAAGAAGGATAAGTGCAAAGTTCTACACTTAGGGGAAAAGAAACAAATGCACAGTTGCAAGATGGTGGATACTTGAGTGAAAAGAATCTTAGAATTGTTGTAGATCACAAGGAGAATATGAGCCAACAGTGCAATTTGGCTTTAAAAAAGGCAAATACTATTTTAAGCTGCATGAACAGAAATAAAGTCTCCAAATTCCATAAAGTACTAGTTCCCCTTTATTTTGCTCCAGTTAGACCTCATTTTGAGTACTGCATCCAGTTCTGGGCACTGCACTTTAAGAAGGATGCCGACAAACTGGAACAAGTTCAGGCGAGGGCAACAAGGATGATCACGGGATTAGAAACCAAGCCCTGTGAGGAAAGACTGAGAACTGGGCATGTTTAGCCTTGAGAAAAGAAAACAGAGGAGAGATAGGATAGCACTTTTCAAACATTTGAAAAGTAGTCATAGAGAAGGAGGGGCAGGATCTGTTCTTGATCATCCCCAAGAACAAGACAAATAATAATGGGCTCAAGTCACAGGAAGCCAGATTTCTGCTGAATATCAAGAAAACTTGCTAACTATTAAAGCAGTACAACAATGGAACCAATTATCTCAGGAGGTGGTGAGTGATCCAGTGGTGGAGGCATTCAAGAGAAAATTAGACAACCTTCTGTCAGACATACTTTGATCTGTATTCCTGCTTTGAGCAGGGAGTTGAACTCCATGACCTTATAGGCCCCTTCCAACTCCATTCTTCTATCATTCTATGATTTTGTGAAGAATAGAAATAAAGCAACTTAGGTTCCTATGGAAACTTTGTAGAGGAATTTAGTTCATGACTATAATTCAGAATGACTTGCCATTCTACCAGTGACTTGATGTTACTTGCAAGTTATGCTTCCTAGGAAATTATGATTATTCTAAAATGGAAACAAAGCTGTTTGTATTCTGCTTTATTAAAAAGATGTAGATGCGCAGCGATAGAGTGAATGTCATTGCATACACTCAAAAGGACCTTAGGATCCTGAATATAAATTGTGATTCAGAGACGTGAGGAAATGGGGACTTCCCTTTATTTTTCCTATTTTGTGCGCTTTCCTAGCAAGAATATGTCACAAATCTGAAAAATGAAACATTGGTCCACAGGGCGAAAGCATTTAATATACATTCCAGTCCCAAAGGAAGGAGACACCAAAGACTGCAGTATCTCTAGGACCACTGTGTCTACTTTCCTGTCTGCTCTCAGTCTGTACACACAGCATATCCTATAGAATTAGAGTCAGATGAAAGAGGCATGTAAAACTGATGAAAAATATCAGTAATTTACAATATGAAGATGACGGCGTACTATTGGCAGAAAGCAATGATTAGATAGAGATGGGCACGAATTGAACCATGAACTAGAAAAACTGACAAATCAGGCTGGTTTGTGGTTCAGTTCACAGCCTAGTTTGGGGATCCTGTTTTACCAAAGCAAAACAAAGTGCTGAACTTTTTACCCCTTGGCGCTTTGTTTTGCTTCAGCAAAACGGATGCCCACTCACCCTCTTCCCACTTCCCCTGTTGCTTCCCTGCTTGGTACTGCTGCCACATCCACCACTGTTGCCATCATCAGAGACAGTGGGCTGGCTTCCCTTCCAGGATCCAGGCCTGCTGCCATTGTGCATGCACCTGCTTATCAGCTAGGCGGTGAGTGCATGTGCAGGGGCAGCAGCTTGCTCTGGGAAGCCATAGGCATTTGAAGCTACAGTATGTAGACAAGGAGCCCATCAAACCCTATTATTTTCACCTAAGCACTATGAAAAATCCCTGTAGCAAACTGGGCTCCATTCGCTCAATCCCAGAGCTAGGCAGTTTATGGCCCCACCGATGTTGCTGGACTGCACAGCCATCATTCCTCAGTATTGACTATGCTGGCTAGGAACGATGGGACTTTTAGTCCAAGAACATCTGCAAGGCTACATGTTGCCCCCTGGTGATGCCGCCCCATGCCAAAACAAGCTGCATTTTCTATATACAAATATATGGCATATAGAATAAAAAGAGCAGATTCCGTTTTTTAGGTGTTTTGCACACAACTGTAAGGAAACCTTTCAGCTTAAAGGGATTAATATATGAATGATATAAATGAAGTTCAGAAGGAAAAGATACTGATTTTTGGGTAGAATGCCTAATCTCAGCACAGTACAGGAAATGAAAAATTCTGATTTTAAAGTAGAAATAAGATTTTAAATGTTGAAATGCAAATACACACATTTACAAATGCAAGACAGATAAAAACCTATCTACACACCACAGAAAACAAATCTATCAGAGTGATTTCCCCTATCCCCACTCACTTAGACCATTATCTAAAATCATTATGATCTAAGATCATTATGATATAAGAAGCAGAAAAGAAGTAACTTCATAATTAATTATTGGCTTTAATGAAAAACCTTATGAATTAAGGCAAAATATTTAACAATTCAAAGTTATAAACAGAAAAAAAACCCCAAACCTTATTTACTTACTTTTTTCAGCCTGGTAATGTTTGCAGAGTCATTAACAGGCTGCGGTTGGGTGGTTTTTGCCGAAGTGGAGATAAATACGGACTTAGCGGCAAACACTGTAGAGCAGAAGCACAAAGTAACTA